ATCTCTGATTCGTCAGGAATCTTGGTATAACAATGCTCTCCGCCTTAGGACCAATTCGATGGGTACGAGGGAGGCATGAGGAGGGCGGACTCGAACTTTCCTGCCGAATGTAGAAGAATTGGGACTAGCACAGAGACGTCCTTTCCAAGTGCCCAGAGAGCCACTGTATCGTAAGGAGGCATGATGACTCCGGATCTAAACTCCCTACCGGTTACCAGAAGGCATATCACTGCTGCAGCGAGGATAGAGTATTTGCCCTAGATCTTGCGGTGGCGTATGAGACTAAGACGCATTGGATCGGGTAGCGGATTTCAAAGTGCAAAAATATGGGTATTGAGGCCCTCATTAAGCTACTAAACACAAAATTTCTTTAAAGCAGTGGGTGTAGTTGTGGGTGCAAGAGGACGAGCGTACTAACAAGATGCTCAGGGAACTCGGGATCAATCAGCTACCGATAATGCCACTCTGCGCTGAGGTCCTCACTCTACATAACCTGCGCTTATATGGACAGAGAAAATACCTGAATACGACGGACCCTGTCTAGGATGACGGTACACGAAATGGACCTATGGTACAGGAAGGGGTGGATGACCTGCACCAAAGGCTGCGAACACTAGAAAGGCGTTTTTATTTAAGTTAAAAACAGAAAAAAAATCCTATATTAATTATGAGGAAGAAAATCCAATAAGGAGACACTTATTTTTTCCTCATTATTTCTTCTCTCCGACATTGAATCCTATATTAGTTACTAGATATTTTTAGTTTGTGTCAGCTTGAAATCTTATGAAATGTCTATTATTGAGTCTTTTTTTTCCCAACCAAATGTGTTCGGATTTTTTCAGTGAAGCACCTTTCAGCATCTGGATGCTCTGGTTGTTTATTATAGTCAGCACTATAAGAGTTTTATAATTAGCCGTGCCATGGCGCAATCTCTGATTAGGTCTTTAACCATTTTGTCCAACTTTTTCTTCCTTTTTTTCAATTAACATAATCGAGATGGTTTAGGTACTAATTCTATTCTAATTCCATTCCCTATCCATTGACCCGGACGTACCTAATAATATACTGAATTGAATTGTCAGTTAGGTCAGTTGTCATCCGAGGTACATCAATTATCACGATGACTGATTAGATAAAATCTATGTTACTCTTAGAATGAAGACGTTCATACCTTTTGAACACGAACACTGTATTAAACCCGTTTATTTATTATTGCTTGTATTTGCCCACTTTAGATTAAATCAATTACAAATATACCATATATATATTTTACCATATATTATATATAGGTAAATATAATTTGTTCCGTTGCCTCCGATTGCGCCCAACGGTTTGAAACAAAACCAAATTAGCCACGCGTATCGTCGAGTTCATTTGAATTGGCGGACACATTGCAGTGGTTCCAAAGGAATTAATTGTATTTTTCATTAAGCACCACTGCTTTTTATAACTGATTATTAATGGAGAACATTTGTATGGTGTATTTTTAGGATGTTATATTCAATAACGTCGGTGGCCGCAACGGTTTGGGCGTTGACACGGCGCCGCTCATCATTGTAAGGTTAAGGTCCCGGGTTCGAATCCAGCGGCCCTGCATTCAAACCCGACGAAAAACAGGGGGGTTTATATGACCTCTGCTGTAGCAAACCCTCGTAGAAAAAAATCTGGTGTTTACTATCATAAAAATGAACGAACTCGTGGTACAAAGAAGTAGGATATTTAAGTTTAATGAGAACCAAAAAGCACAAAGATAAAGGTTCTTTTGATCTACTTCTGTTCTTTCAATTTCGTGACATTTCAAAGTCATTTAATAATGTTAGTGACAACATAAATTAAATGAACCACTAACGCAAATGGAGCAGATGTGAATTAAATCGTTTTGAACCTGAGAATCGAATCGACGCTAGGGTTTGATAGATGGTGTCTTCAAAGGATGAGGGGGGCTCCTGCTGGTGACTGGATTGGATTAATTGTTTGATTGAGAACTGGAACTGTTTTCCCTGTCTAAAAGGCCTTTCCGGCTAATGAAAGGAGGCTAAGTGAGAAGAACAAAACTTACTGCAGGGGTAAATTTGTACACTGGAAAACCAGCCTACCTTTGCAAAAATTATAAAAACAAATAACATAAAGGCGTGTACAAGTCTTTATAGAATGAGGATGAGCAATTTAAGCAAACTTTTACATAGCTTTAAAAACAATAAAATTCAAAAGCTTTTAGAATTGTACATTTTAGAATATCAATGCTGATAAGGCAGGTCAAAAAGAAGCAGCTATTCTTTACCCTTCAAGGTGAATATTGCAGCTCATTAAATAAACAAAAATAAAAATAATAAGTCAATTATTCAAAAGGAATTTTTAACCAGATGTTGGCTTACTAAGAGAGAAAGCTGCGGGGGGGGGTTGAAAAACCGATTTTCTTAATCAATCACGGGAAGGCATTATTGGGCAAAACGTCAAAAGCTGAACCCTCGGCTTAATTGAATCACTGACAATAAAGCACTTTGGAACCTAAGGCAAAATATTTCGACAAAAAAAGAAAAACTCTTAAAACTACATTATATGTATAAATTAAAACTTTGACCCAATTTAATTTCTGATGTTTTTCATTGATGTTGCACTTGCTTTTAAGTTTGCTCAGTTTTTGCTCTTGGCTGATGAAATCAAAATTTTTAAAGCAGTTCTTTGCCCTGGCGACCCACTGGCACTCCAAAAGGACATAGATTCCTTTGCAGATTGGTGTTCCAATAATAGTTTTTTCCCCTTAACCTAAGTAAATGCAAATTCATTCATTTCTGCAGGTTAAATCACAATCCTTTCACATTCCAGTGCGCCATTAACCATAGCAATATGTCATGGGTGACAATCGATACAATTATTAAAAAACCGTAACCTCACATTTGTTAAAAGAATGACTGCTGAATTTATTAATCCATTTGCTTTAAAGGCCTTGTTTCAACCCTTAGTTCAATCGCATTAGGAAAGGATTCAAAACCTAGCTCTTAATTTATTTCCTCCAGGAGTACTGGTCATGAATTAGATTATGACTGCACAAACTTCAATTAGACTCGAGCTTGAAGGAAATTAGTTTCCTATCCTTCAGTTGGAAGGTGCTCAACAACTCAATGGATATCCTCTCCATGTTCGGCGCACCACTTTTCCATATGGGTTTTCACCTAACCACCAACATTTGGACTGTTGTCTATGACTATTGTATTGCATGTACACATTTATGTATAACTATACTTGATTATGGATGTTATAAGCATGTGTACTATACAAGTGGATTTAATTGTAAAAAAATCTGCTTGAATAAAAATGTCTAATTGTAGTAACAGACTTAAAAGAATGAAAAATAAAATTCTCGATCTATCTTGAAGATAATATATGTGTACTTGTTTAAATTTATATAGTCTCTCTTATTTACTTCAGTCTGGCCTGCTGCTCTTGTTATTTTATAGAGTATTCAGCTATTGATACATTCTTAAAATAATTTTTAACATTTCTGAAGATTGTGGGGTGAGATGGTCATGTCAAAATATTGTACATGTGATGAAAAGTGGGTTTACAGGCGAAATCATATTGTGCAGGGACAAGGACTAAGGATGACACCACTTTTCCAGCTGCTGCAAGGGGACTGCACAAAAGAGTTGATGGATGTTTTCAAAATTGAAGTATATGGCGAACAGTTAGAAGTAGGCTAAATTCAGAACTTATCTCAACTTTATGAATTTTGGCTTGAAAGATACTGGTGTACATTGCAATGAGCTCTGAGAACTTGGTTTTCAAGTAGACATCACCAAAATATTGTCACATTTGATGAAAAGTGGGTGTTACTGGCTTAAGGATGATGGCTGTGCCTATGGCTAGATAGATACAGATCTGATGGCTGTTCTTAAAACTCTGAAGTCTACTGTAACCAAACAGCATTGTTTACCGTGAAGGAGTTCTGATCCACAAAAGGTTAGAAGATTTACATGTGATTAAACTCCTGCCACACCCAACATACAGTCCAATCCTTGCTCCATATGATTATTACTTGTTTCGACCCATGCCCTGAGAGTAGGAATCTCTGGTACTCTTTTAAAATATGTGTAACACTAGAACACATTCCCATCAAATCTGGAAAAATTTAGAATATTTTCATTAGATCCTTTTGTTGTTGATTTTTTAATATCCTTGCCCAAGACATAGGTGTATTTGTGCTTTATGCTGTTGTTAATATATAATTTATTGGTTTATAATATTTTTATTTTGCATTACTTGGATTTATCCTTATTCGTTAGGGAAGTATATTAAAATTTTGAAGAGAAAGAGATGGACATGGAAAGTGAAGTTGATAATGGGTTTTGGTCTGCGAGTCAGGGAACTCATGTTGACCCAGCACAGGGTCATTTACTTAGTCTGTCTCCACTCGCAGGTTTTTGGGTTATTCAAACCCAATTCACCATTGCACCATCTTCAGTGAGGAAGTCCATGGAAAGTGAAGTTTTATCTGGTGTTGACAATAAAGCCACTAACCAGATAAAGTTTGGACTCTTCATCTTAAAGACGTAGAATGGTCAATCCATCGAACCTGAGGTTGATGGAGGATCTCGGAGGAGAAAAGATCAACCACCACAGCAATCAGTTGCTCAATATTATCAAAATTTTGGTAATATCTGATGCGGCACATCTAATCGATGACTTCAAATTAAAGTCTTTTACTGATTCAGCCAAACTCTGGTGATTTTTCAGTTATCTCAGTGTCACATTTAACACTGAATAGATTGAGTGCAATTTCTCAGCTTGGTATCTGCCATCGAATGCAATTTTCCAGTCAAAAGTTCTCATTGAGGATAAAACACATATATGACATACAGAAGAATCCCAGTGTACTAAACTTTACAATTCAGTGATTTACGAATCAAAACACTTTTATATTACAATGATACACTACTATAAATTATTTGATAAAATTTTATTTAAATAATAAATGAATGAATGTCTTCTTTATTTTTCAGGCCATCTTTGGAGGAGATCCGTGCATGGGGAAAATCCTTCGATAGGCTCATGAAAAATCCAGGTGAATATTTCTAATCAGCTTTACTCTTTTTATTTTCTTATCTCTTTGCCATTATTTTAATTGATGTGATTTTGAGAGATATGAGAAGCATTGAAGCAAAGAACTTGTTCCCTTTTCGTCTTCCAACTTCCCTACCATTCACGTGCTTTTAAGAGCTAAGTTAATGCCTCATTCCGTATACCCAATGAATCATTACCATTTTGGAAAATGTGTGCATTAGAATCGATTTTCAATGAAGTCTGATCATCCAAACATAATAAATAAGACACGAAAAAAATCTAATCTGAGAACTGTGTTAAAGAATTAAAATTAACAAACTATTTTACTATACCAATGATAAAATTTATATTGTGTTTATAAAAGTATTCTTACTACTATCTTTGCATATCCACGGTTCAATGTTTTTTCAGTGAAGCAGAGAAAATATGTCAGTTTTTTCATTGTGAGGTTTCTATATGTCATCCTACTAGAAATGCTTAAACATTATAATAAAAGCTAAATAACTACCAATTTTTGTAATTTTGCTGGGTTGTTTTCTTCTTCTTCTTTTGAAAACTTCTTTTCAAGCCTGTGAATTAAAATATAAAAAAGGTCTGAAACTAGAATTTTATCATGGATATGTTTTGGGGCTGGATAAGTTAGGTAGGGTTACAGATTTACGATTAGGGATGGGGTAGGTTAGGTAGTGTTAAGGTTAGGGTTAGGTGAGATGTGAGCTAGGGTAAAGGACGGTTTAGGTTACATATCCATGATTCAATGTTTATCCATGAAGCAGAGAAAACATGCCAGTTTTTTCATTGTGAGATCAATAAACTTGGATCATCTTATTGAAATGCTTATATTACAATTATAGGTAAATAACTACAAATTTTTGACATTTTACCTTTTTTCCTGAAAGCTTCTTTTCATTCCTGTCATTGATTGTCAATTGTTGATTCAAAGTATACAAATGAGTGAAAATGACATAATTTGAGTGATTTTCCAGATATTTTAACACGGATATGTTTTTAGACTGATAGGCTTGGTTAGATAGGGTTAGAATTTTAGGGTTAGGTTTGATAGAATTAAGGTTAGGTAAGGGCTAAGGTTAGGGTTATGTGAGATTTTGGTTAGTGTAAGGGACAGATTTGGTTACATATCCATGACTGAATTTTTTTTTTCTTGAAGTGGAGAATATATGCCAGCTTTTTCATCATGAGATCTCCTGTAAAATTCAATCAACTTATTAGAAAACATTCTTACATTAAAATAAGAACTAAAAACTACCAATTTTTGCAATTTTTCCTTTTTTGTGAAATCTTCTTTTCATTCATATCATTCTGATACTAATGCCTGTTGAACAAAGATTAAAAAAGGTCAAAAAGCGAAAAATATGAGCAATTTTCTCAATATATTTCATTGTGGGAGCTCCTATAAATTCTTGTCATCCTTGGTATGTTAAAGGTGTTTCAATATATATGTATCAATTTTCTTTCACAAAACTTGATTTTTTTAAATTGAAAAATAGAAGAAACTCTTCAGTTTTAAGCAGACCCTTGAGAAGTTTCCTATCAACTTCACATGTTATTTATTTTATAAAAGTGAGTGACAAATACATAATAAAAAGATACTGGAGCAATCTGTTTCAGACTTGGGGAGATGTCAGAGTTGAACCCTTTGTATGACAATAGCTTGATAATGTTACGTTCCTTTTGTTATATTTGTTGATATTCTATTTACAATACTTTCTTCATTCCTTTCTTTAATTCTCCTTTTTCTTTTTTAAACACTTTGTAAATTAATATTTGTTACTTTTTGAAGTTAATTGTTGCAACAAAAATTTTTTTAATCATTATTCATTAAACACTGTTTTTATACTTAATTAAATTTATAAGTATATGAAAATGTATTTTATGTATAATTTTATCAATTTATGTGATAGTATTATTTTGAAGCAACTGAAAACTTGTCTTGGTTTGTCTTTTACAGCCGGAAGAAAAGTTTTCCGTGAATTCTTGCGATGCGAATACAGCGAAGAAAACATCCTATTTTGGCTAGCATGCGAAGAACTGAAAAAAGAGGGAAATCCCGATCTCATAGAAGAAAAAGCGCGATTCATCTATGAAGACTATATATCCATACTTTCTCCTAAAGAGGTAACAAAACACATATAAGAGGTGTAATACGTTTTTATTGTGCAAGGAAAATCATATTTACATTAAATACAACTAATGGAATGTTTTCATTGCAGGTGAGTTTGGATTCAAGAGTACGTGAGATTGTAAATCGCAATATGGTTGCTCCGACACCTCACACTTTTGATGAAGCGCAACTTCAGATATATACATTGATGCATAGAGATTCATACCCTCGGTTTGTCAACTCATCGCTCTTCAAGCAGCTTGCTCAGCTGAATAACAATAGTGATGGGAGTGACATGATACCAGTAGTCGAAGCTCAACAATCTCAACCAAAACAGTAAACAGAGCACAAATGATCAACTATCTCTTAACTATAATTTTTTTATTGTAATTAATTATTGCAATTTAACTGTAACTATTTCTTATTGCTATTTGCTGCTCAAACTGCGTTATACATAAAAAGCAGCAATATTTTATATGCTCTATTGCACAAATATTTTTTTGTTTGTTTTTGTTTCAAAACAGTACATGCAGAAATGATTCCACAAAGAGTTATTACCAAATAATCTGTGCTAAATGCAATTGGTAAATTGACTTGTGGTTAAATTAAAACTATTTTGAACATCAAATAGAATGATTTAAATTCTTTTTGTAACAAAAGAAAACTAAACAGACTATTTTAAAAATTTGAGGAATAACTTTAATACAATGAGAGCTACGTCTTTTGTAAGAAAAATGCATTTAAATTAAAACAAATCAAGTACATAAGTTTCTTAACATAAAAACAAAAATAAACTTACATTAACATTTTTTAGCTACATGATATAACTACAAAACATTTTATTAAAATCAATAGAGTTTTCAAAAATTGAACTAAAAATGCTGAGCTTCTATTGAGCTTGAAATTTAATAATAAAACAGATTACACATACTTTACAAATTTACAAAGATTGTAATCAACTGTCAATTAATAACCCCCATAATAAAATTAAAGTTTAAATGCTATAAAGTAGCTCACAGACTGTAGGAATTATTTTAGCAGTAGAAGTTATGAGATGGAAAACATGAAAAACAACTTTATTCAAATCATTATTTGTTTATGATAAATGATGATTTGAATATTTTCCAGGGTATATTTAACATTCAGAGATAAATCGATTTAAACGACTAATTGAGGGAAAAATGAATTTATAACAGGCTTATAAAAGTAACAGATTTCTACCTGTGTAGTACATATTAAGAGTATTATAACACTAAATATCTTTTGCTGCTTCAAATAGAATCAAACTACTAACCACAATAAAAGAACAAAGATGTGAACTTTGAACAGATTTTAAAAAAAAGTACAAGCTTCATCGTGAGTGATCTCATCACACAAACTAATAAAAGGGTAAAACCTACTATTATAATACTGTTATTATTTTTAGTTGAGTAGTGAGTTAAGGAAATTAATATATTTTCCAACAATTAATTCTCTTATTACATGATGTAGTTGTAGTTGTTGTCTAGATGTTCAAGGGTCCAGTTAACTTAATTCCCCCAACCTAAGTGTTATATTTTTAAAAGCTTCCTGAAATTCAGTCCCTACTGTATGACCAGATTATTATTTCATCCAAAGTATAAATGTAGCATGCATGAGAATTTTCTTTAGCCCATTTATGAAAAAAAAAATGTAAAATGTAAATTTAAAAAATGATAAAATTATTAGAAAAATATAAAAACACAATGTGGTAAAATTACAACTGAAAAGAAATTAAGACATTGAAGAAAAGACCGTGGTTTATTCTTAATGTAAAAAAATATTAGTGTAATTGTGTGATATCTTATACCTTGAGTCTAAATGTTTTTCACAAAAAGCCCAGGACCAATTGTATAGCCTCCTTCTCCAGTAAAGCTTATTAACCAACTTATTTTACTATTAAAAGAGGGTCAATAACCATCTAAAACAGTGTATCATACAAACAAGTTTTTATTTAATAATATTTTTGTCATTTTTCAGTTAAAATTTTATTTATTATAAACGTATAACAGTTTAATGGAATCAAGGCCTGTTACATGAGGTGCCTTTTCTGTTTTCACAATTTAGCAGAAATTGTAGCAAAAATTATTTTTCTATTATGCAAAAAAAAATTGCATTGCATTTCATAATAGCACTAATCACTTTTTATTTATTTATTTTTATTGTTGCTAACTGGTTTCTGAACATCATATAAAATTCTAAGTCAATTTATTAATTAACTTTAATAGAGACAAGAAATATTGGAAACTATAAATATCCAGGAAATTTGCTGAATCCTTAAAATTCAGTTATGGGCCTACAAAGTTTAGAGCAAATATGCAATTAATTATTCATCAACTTTTGCTCAACCTTAACTGTTTTGCACTTTTACTCCAGTCAATCATGAATCTCTCTCTTTATCTCCTCTTACATTTTTCTCATATTGATTATTTTCTACAAATTTGTGTTATTGGGAGTGAGCTCACGCCAATCAATGTGGATTAAAAGCTAATAACTTTGTTAACAATGTGTTTGTGATCATAATCGTTAAATGTTAGTAAGCCAAGATTTATACCATTAAAAAAAAGAAAGCTTTAATCATTATTAAACTAATATCGGTGTGGCATTCCTGCTAGCAAAGGCTGATTTCAGTCAGCTTTTGCATGCTAAGAAATGTGGGTAAACTTGTAAGAAATTCGAACATCATAACCGGCCTACAGTGGAAGTGTGTTTGAATTGAAAGTGGCCTATATATATAAAAATAAAGTTAAAAATTTATGAAAAAAAAACACACACACACACAAAACACACACAACATGCACACAACACAACACACACAACACATAAAAGACTTTGTGCACACGCTCATGCAAACTTACAAAGACTACTGGAGAGAAGAAGAAAAAAGAAACAAATTCAAATAATACATAGAATCAGTAGAAATCCACTCAAATGTAAATTAAACAAACTTACTCTGTATGATAAATTTATGCATACATAGGGTATATGTGTGTATTCAAACTTGAGCTTGTGAGCACTAACTGATACATAAGTACATATTAGTGTGTGTATGTATTATACACATTAACTGTAAATATAATTATCAAAGAAATGACAAATATCTCAATATTGGAGAGAAATTCACTGAAAATTCAATGGCTTTAATATTTTATAGAAATATTTATGTTTAAGTGTTATATGNTTATACATTTTATACATCTATTGAAATACATAATAGCATAAATATATAGACAGAAGTATATGTTAAATGTGTAAAGTGTTTATTTTAAATTCTGTTAACATTTAACATACATTTCTGTACATATTTTTATGGTATGGCTTGTTAATGAATGAACTGACAATTGCTGATCCTCAAAATCATTAAATTGTTATATGAATTTTTTCTCCATTTTAATTATTTGTGATAGCTCACTGTTATTATCATGGAACGTGATATCATTGCCATTTAATTAGCACAATTTGAAGAAAGAAAAAAAACTTTGTTGGGACTCTTAATCATGTGCACACACAATATTTTTCCAGGTGAAAACGGGTAATGCAAATTAAACCAATGAAAATGTATTTTATTAGACCGATTTCAATTGTTAACCAATTTTATAAACTATGGTCATAAAATCTTATTAGAAAATTGTCTATATTTAGAGTAAAAAGTAAATTAGTGGCTTTAATTTCATTACTTCAAGTAGGACATTTATTTTTCAGCATAATTTCTTTTCACTAATTTGTCTAATGTCATCTGTTTTTTTTTAAATTGATCTAATTTAACAGTTATTATTTTAAATAAATTTTGATCGGTTAAAATGGAAATCAGTCTTTCAAATACAACCAAATTAATTTTCAAACAAATTTAGTTATATAAAAAGATTTTTTTGTTGAAAATATTACTTTTTCTACTATGTGATAATTTATTGGTTACCTAATTAAATTTATAAAGTTTCTAATTGTGATTGTATTACTATTATTGTAACTAGTATTTCTGTTTTTAGATTATAGTTTTATCAAGCGCACAAATTATGTTAGATAATCCAAATTCAATTAGTTTTTTTACATTTACATTAAATAAATACATTTTTTGATATGAGAAATTCTCCTATTTGTTTATTTGATTTTTTTTATTATGTTAAATGATAAGAGACAATTAGTTTAAAAATAGTCATACGTTTCTCATTTAGTCAACTCTCTGGTCATAAATATAAAATTGTTTTTCCAAAGATTAGATGATGAAGAATAAATTGTTTTTTTAATTGTATATTAACTAGTGATTACAAAAGTAATGTGGTGTTCATTTTGTGATTATTCTTCTTCATATTCTTCATTTCATGACTGCTTCTATTTCATTTATTTTGAATGGCTTGATATGAATGTTTTCACAAGTAAAGAGATGTTTGGGATCAAATAAACCAAAAAAAAACTTTTTTTTTCCAAATAGTTATAATAGTTGCTTTTATAAATCAACAACAAATTACCCAAAATCATCACAAATTTGTAAAAAGTACTAAGTGTATACACAATTTATAAAAAAAAAATATTTTTAAATAACTGAAGAATCAAAAAACAAAGACATAAACTTTAATTGATAAAATAAGGATCATGGAAAATTCAGGTGTAGACGATTACCGCGATAAAAAAGAACAAAACAAATACAATGAAAATGAAAGACATAAAAGTAATATTTGGATTAATGTGTACAATATAATGATATGAAAATTATATAAATTAAAATGTGATATTGGGAAGGAAAACTGCTTTAACCTCAGCAATAAATGTATCGATGGGAAAAATTATTTTTTAAACAATCATTATGCTTGATTTATATCTTGACGTATGCATTTATTTAAAAGTTTTTATTGGGGTATAATTTGACAAATTACACGGCACATATTTTTAAATTTGTTCCCTTCACGAATTAATCATCACTTACTTGTTGAAGCTTCATTAAAGTATTTCCCCCCCCCCAAAAAAAAAAATTTATAATTTGGTCTGTGATTTTTTATCGTATTACCTTAGATTGCCTCATTTATTACATTACGATAGTAAGTGATGGTACATTTTGAGAGTTTTAGACAGAGTGTTAATCCATGACTGGTAAAACCAGTGGCTATAAAAAAATTATTATTATAATATTCTGTGACATAATTAATTTTGAATGTATGTACTGGAGTGGAGAGAAAGATTGAATGGTTCGTAGTTGTAACCCTATCTCGTAGCTTTAAAATATTTTAAATTCTACCTTATAATAAAAACATTTAAAAAATGATATTTTAATAAAAGTTGAGGGTTTTCAATGTAATTGCCTGTAATTAAAGAATTGCCAAAATATATTTGGTATTTTTTATATATAGATTATGTTTTAAATTATTAATTTATTTGAACAAAAAATAGTGCATAGTTATTATTACATACAATTAAGTTATGTAAATGAGTGCAAATTTTTCTAAATTATGTATGATTTTTACAGTATAAAAGACCAATAATGGCTTATATATGTTGATGTAATTTATAATAAAAACTTAACTTGAGTATACTCCCAGCATAGCGAAGAATATAAACAAAAATATAAAGTGTACATATGCGATGTGAGACTAGAATCACCATGTTGTTATAAATGTTGTAAAATAATGGATTACTTCTTGTGAATATGTTTTAACAAAATGTTGCTGACCAAACTATAGGGAAAATATAATGGTTGGTCACTAGCGTGGGTGCATGTTAAAAGTAAAATTAATTACTTGTAATGTACATTTTATTAGAAAAATAGTCAAATGAATGTATG